AGTATTGGGAAAAACTCCCTTAAATTTCATATGGAAGCAAAAAAGAGCCCACATAGCCAAGACAATCATAAGCAAACACACACACACACACACACACACACACACACACACACACACATACACACACACACACAAAGCTGGAGGCATAACGCTACCTGACTTCAAACTATACTACAAGGCTACAGTAATCAAAACAGCATGGTGCTGGTATCAAAACAGAGATATAGACCAATGGAACAGAACAGAGGTCTCGGAAGTAACGCCACACATCTACAACCATCTGATCTTTGAAAAACCTGACAAAAACAAGCAATGGGAAAGGATTCTCTGTTTAATAAATGGTTCTGGGAAAACTGGCTAGCCATATGCAGAAAGCTCAAACTGGATCTCTTCCTTACATCTTATACAAAAATTAACTCAAGATGGATTAAAGACTCAAACATAAGACCTATCGCCATAAAAACCCTAGAAGAAAACCTAGGCACTACCATTCAGGATATAGGCATGGGCAAGGACTTCATGACTAAAACACCAAAAGCAATGGCAACAAAAGCCAAAATAGACAAATGGGATCTAACTAAACTAAAGAGCTTCTACACAGCAAAAGAAACTATCGTTAGAGTGAACTGGCAACCAACAGAATGGAAAAAAATATTTGCAATCTATCCATCAGACAAAGGGCTAGTATCCAGAATCTATAATGAACTGAAACAAATTTACAAGAAAAAACCAAACAACCCCATCAAAAAGTGGGCAAAGTATATGAACAGACACTTTTCAAAAGAAGACATTTATGCATAGCCAACAAACATATGAAAAAAAGCTCATTGTCGCTGGTCATTAGAGAAATGCAAATCAAAACCACATTGAGATACCATCTCACACCAGTTAGAATGGCAATTATTAAAAAATCAGGAGGCAACAGATACTGGAGAGGATATGGAGAAATGGGAATGCTTTTATACTGTTGTTAGGAGTGTAAATTAGTTCAACCATTGTGGAAGACAGTGTGGTGATTCCTCAAGGATCTAGAAATAGAAATACCATTTGACCCAGCAATCCCATTACTGGGTATATACCCAAAGGATTATAAATCATTCTATTATAAAGACACATGCACACATATGTTTATTGTGGCACTGTTCACAATAGCAAAGACTTGGAACCAACCCAAATGCCCATCAATGATAGGCTAGATCAAGAAAATACAGCACATATATGCCATGGAATACTATGCAGCCATAAAAAAGGATGAGTTCATGTCCTTTGTAGGGACATAGATGAAGCTGGAAACCATCATTCTCAGCAAACTGACACAAGAACAGAAAACCAAACACTGCATGTTCTCACTCATAAATTTATGTTGAACAATGAGCACACATGGACACAAGGATGGGAACATCACACATTGGGGCCTGTCAGGGGGTGAGGGGCTCGGGGAAGGTTAGAAGTGGGGGGTAGGGCTGGGTGAGGGATAGCATTAGGAGAAATACCCAATGTAGATGACTCTCCTTCTGCCTTATGCCCCTTAGCTGAATTCTTTCTTCGGAGGAGGCAAGAACTGAGGTTGCTGTAGACCCATATGGATTCACCATTGGTAACAGTATCACACTACCTGATCTCAAAATTGCTAACTATAAAGCTATGGTAATCAGGGCACCATGCTACTGGCATAAACACAGATCAATGGAATACAATAGAGGGCCCATAAATAAATCCACACATGTACAATCAATACATTTTCAACATAGATGCCAAGAACACAAAATTGAGGAAGACCAAGTTTTTCAATAAATGGTGCTGGAAAAAATGGATTTCCACATGCAAAAAAAAAAAAAAAAAAAAGAAATGAAATTACACTCTTATCTAATGTCCAGGCACAAAAACAACACAAAATGGATTAAAAACTTAAATGTAAGTCCTGAAATTATAAAACTACTAGAAGAAAACACAAGAGAAATCTCCATCACATTGTTCTGGGCAATGATGTTTTGAATATGATCTCAGGAGCACAGGCAACAAAAGCAGAAACAGACAAATGGCATCACATTAAACTGAACTTTTCTGCACAACAAAGAAAACAATCAACAAAGTGAAGAAACAATCTATGGAATAGGGCATAATATTTGAAAAGCATGCAACTGATAAGGAGTTAATATCTAAAACCATACATAAGGAACTCAACTCAGTAGCAAGGAAACAAATAACCCAATTAAAAAATAAGCAAAGGACCGGGGCAGACATTTCTCAAAAGATGGCTTGCAAATGTCCTACAGATTCATGAAAAAAAGCTCAGCATAACTAATCAGCAGGGAAATACAAATTAAAATCACGATGAGATATCATTTCACACCTGATAGAATATGAGAGAAAAGACAAGATAATGTTGGGGAGGATGTGGAGAAAAGAGAACCATAGTACACTGATAATGGGAATATATAAATTAGTACGGCCATTATTGAAAGCAATATAAAGGTTCCTCAAAAATTAAAATTAGAACTACCATATGATCCAGCAATCCCATGACTGGGTATATATCTAAAGGATTTGAAATCAATATGTTGAAAAGTTGTCTGCATGCCAATGTTTTTTGTTTTTTTTGCACATTATTTACAATAGCCTAGATATGGAATCAACCTAAGCATCCATCAGCAAATAAATGAATAAAGAAAATGTGAGATACAAACACACACACACACACAATGGAATATTATTTTACATCTATACATATATATACTATTATATATATACATACTACTATATATACATATATTACATTATGTACATAATACATTATGTATTATATATGTACACATAAAATACATAATATATAATAGTATTATGATAGTATACATAGTTATAATATATAGTATAATTATAATATACATATTATAGTATAATATATACTGTTACTCTATATAAACTAGATAACATATGCTATTATATAAATTATTATAACATATAGTAGTATATACACACACACACACACATACAATGGAACACTATTCAGCCTTTAGAAAGAAGAAAATTCTGTCATTTGCAGCAACATGGATAAGCCTGGGGGACATAATATCAAGTGAAATAAGCCAGGCACAGAAACACAAATAGCACATGATCTCACTTATATGTGGAATCTAAATGAGTTGAATTCACAAAAACAGAGAGTAGAATGGTGGTTATCAGGGGCTGCAGGGGAGGGGATCAGGAAGATGTTGGTCAAAGGATATGAAATTTCAATTAGACAGAAGGAATAAATTCAAGAGATCAATTGTACAACATGATGACTGTAGTTAATAACAATGAAATGTAAAAAAACAAAGAACAAAAAACAATGAAATGTATACTTGAAAATTTCTAAGAGATTAGATGTTAAGTATTCTTGCCACATAAAAATAATAACTATGTGAGGTAATGCATATGTTAATTAGCTTGATTAAGCCATTTTACAATAGGTATATAATTCAAAATATGATGTTGTACACCAGAAATATATACCATTTTTCTCATTTAAAAAATAAGTAATAAAAATAAGTTTTTAAAAGCCAACATGACCTTAATACTAATGCTTGTTAATAACAACAAAAAAGCCCATAGACCAATTTCATTTATTATGGACATAAAAATTCCAAACAAAATGCTATCAAATCAAACCCAGTTTTTCCTGGAAATAATAAAATGCCATGAACATATAGTACTGTAATTTTTATCTACTATGTACATAAAGATGTTCCCAGGAGATTATTAAAATTAAAATTACTAGGTTGTACTCTCAAAGCTGCAGTTAGGATGGAATAAAGGAATGTGAATTTTATGAAGTCCCTCTTCCCAACAGACACCCTTAGGCAATTATGATGTATGTAGTTATGTGGGATGAGAACTCAATTTAAGGAAACAATCAATAGTTTTTTATAGAAATGCAAATGTAATTTGTTAAATCAATCTCTGTAATTCAGTATATCAACAAATGAGGAAAACTAACAAATATTAGTCTCCAAGTCAGTAGACAGTTTAAAAATTAATAAAGTTTGGTGGTAATTAACAATAAAGTTGAAGGTATGGCATGTTTTTTGCTTTTTGTTTTGTTTTTTTTTTGAGATGGAGTCTTGCTCTGTCACCCAGGCTGGATCTCAGCTCACTGCAACTTCTGCCTCCTGGGTTCAAGCAATTCTCCTGCTTCAGTCTCCCAAGTAGCTGAGATTACAGGCATGAGCTACTGTGACTGGCCAGCATGTAATTTTCTTTGCCATTAATATCCAGAAACCAGAGGCTCACCAAAATTAATCAACTTTGTTTAAAGGTTTATTGCATCCTCATGGGGGTGGGGAAGTTGGCTCTTGCTTACTCAGTATGAAAGCTTACAACAAAGCTATTATAATTAAAATAGTATGGTATGTGCATAGGAATAATTAAGTAGGTGACTGAAACAGAATACAACATTCAAAATTGAATTCAAAGAATAAATGGGTACCTAATATATGATCCAGTCAACACTCAAATTCAGCAGGGAGAATTAGTGTTATATTTAATTAAAAAGTACTAGTAAAATAGCCTATCTGGACAAAGAAAAACTAAACCTTTACATTATACTATATAAACACATTTCAGATAGATATCTGAATATAAAATGTAAGTCTATAAAAATATTCTAGGAGAATGCATAAAAAGTATGTATATCTCAAAGTGGAATCAACCTGATAGAATCAATAACATAAAAGCTGTGAAACCATAATGGGAAAAAAATGACAGATTAAAAAAAAAACTTAAAAAAAAAATAAGCTACGTATAACATACACACAAAAAGCACACAAATAACACAAATCAAACACTCCTGCAAACGCCAGCAGGTCAAGGAAGAGCTGGTCTCTAGCTTCCAGGAAGCCATCCTCACGTTTTTCCCCAATCACTATCTACTGCCATTGCCCCAAAGGTAACCACTATCCTGTTCTGTAATACTTTAGTGCAGTTTTGCTTGTTTTTAAACTTTATTTAAGCTGAATTACCTTGAGAGAGCCTTCTAAAATGAAAGGAATCTTTTCCTTCTCTTTTTCTTTTTCTTGATCTGATATGTCTGTTTTGCTGATTCCTTTGTTACCTATAACCAGACAAAATTAAACTTCTTAGTAACTCTTAAATAAGATATCATAGAAGGACTAAATCTCTGGGTTAGATGAGACCTCAAAGGCAATCAAGTTCAACTTCACATTTATTTACCTCTGATTTTTTTCTTGCCATTTCCAGAATGAACATCTGAAGTGGGACTGAGCCACGTCAGTGATGGGGAACTCAGTTTCCGGGGACAGTGCATTCCATTCCCAGTGTGTTGATGTGTTGCAGCTTTTATTGAACTGCAGTCTCTCTCCCTAAAGCTTTCACCTAATAATCCTAGTTTACCACCTTAAGACTACACAGAACAAATCCAATGTTTCCATCTATATGAAGCCCTTCCCTTGCCATTGTAGTCTTTCTCTTTTGAAGGCTTATATTCTTCCTGACTTGGGAGACCTGAAACTGAGTGCAATATCTATCAGGTGCATTCAATCCTAAATTAACCATCATCTAGATTTTCACAGGCTTTTGGTCTTTTCAGTAGCATTATAAAGAAAAGGCAATAAATTCACATTTTTTTCTTACTAATAGGTAGGTGTGGCCCTGCATGTGAGTGTTAGAGGGCAGCCCTACCTATTTTTTTTTTTTTTAACATATAGTCCTGGGATCCAAGATGGCCGTTTAGGAACAGCTCAGGATTGCAGCTCCCAGTGAAAGCGCAGAGGGTGAGTGGACGCCGTGTTTTTATTGCCCACAGACTAGGAAATTCCCGGGCAGAGGTGCTCCACGGACACCAGCGCGGCTGTGCCGGCCAGCGCCGCTGCTTTGCCCCGCGCGGCTGCTTTGTCGGCGCCCCGGAGCCGCGGTTCTCCGTACAAAATACACTGGTCCGG